CCCTTATTTTTCGGCTTATACAAAGTGGGTGTGTGCCTGATGCTACATGTCCACATAGATGGACACACCCAAATGACAGAGGATGGGAACCTACTGTTCTAAAACCAGCCATTTGTGGGAGAAAGGGCAGCCTGAAGTCGATTTGCTCCTATTAGATTTCATCTAAGTAAGAACATAAAATATGTTTCAATCCCACCATACTACAAAACAAAGTAGAGCCTGATCATGTTCCTGAATTAAAACTAAATGGTTAAAATGGTTAAAATGGTTAAATGGTTAAAATTTCAGTGACTCTAACATTTTGTTTCCTTTTACAAATGATGCTAAAAATGGCAGCAACTATTCATGGGAACATCATGAAACACCCACTAATGGGTTAAATGCTTTCCATGCACTGTCTTGATTTTAAATCAACAAATTTAAACAAATGTCATTCCCCTGCCCATTTTTACAGATAAGGAAAGTGAAGTTCCAATCACTATTGTTCAAAGGCATGCAGTTGGAAGGAGCAGATCCAAGGCTGAATCCCAACCACTATTTTGAGGTCTTCTCTCATTGGATCCCTATTCTAGGTTTCCTCTCACAGATCTCTGTTCTGAGGGCTTCTCCATTAGGAGATTCCAAAGCAGGTCTCATCCTAGAAGCACACAAATGCTTCACACAAACATGTAGTCACATATATCTGCACTAGGACCATTCCTTTCCACCTGCCTTACTCACAGTGTCCAATCTCCTTTTCCTTACCTGGACAACCAGAACTCTAACCTGCCTCCCAGATGACACTGTTTAGCACATAGCCTAACATAATGTGCTACAATGCCACTCTAACTGCCTTTCTGAGAATTACTGGATTCCAGATTAATGATCACTGACAAATGTGATACATGGGAATTAATGCCCAGAAATTATGTCATTATAGGTCTTTTTTCCCAAGGACTAGAAAAATCTTGTTACTGACCTATACCAGAAATTCATTGCATAATATTAGAACAGAAAGTACAATTTCTGCTTCTGAATTGTGAATCATGAATTCAAGCATTTGGATGTCTATTTTTTCCCTGCAGTTCTGAGAATTGAACCCAGAGCACAGTGCATTTAGAGCGAGTGTTATACCATTGAGCTATATGCTCTGTCTCAAGTGTTTGGATGCCCATGATGTTTTTCTAAAATGGCTATATTCTCTACATATGTTCTTCATCATTTTTCAGCTTCCTTTCCCCCCTTATTATTATTCATGAATAAAGAGAAGAGAGAGAAGACAGAAAGCCATGAAGCTGAAATGTAAGCTCACCTTATGATGCTGCCTCTGTTTGCTTACAAGGACAGCTCAGCATTGGCCTAAGTGTTGTGCTTAGACCAAATCAGGAATAAGCCTTATTATTCTTTTTCGTTTTTGTGAATTGAGGGAATGTAGATATTCATACACACACACACACACACACACACACACACACACACACACACACACAATTTATATATATATATATATATACATATATATATATAACATAGAGGCTTATACAACAATATAATATGTAAAATATATATCATGTAACCATATAATTTGCTAAAACCCAAATATAATAATCTTAATCTGTAACAGGATCTCTAACTTCCTTATTCTCATACTTGTTCTGATTCTTCCACACTTCTTATCAAAATACCAAAAGCAGATGGAATTCAATAAATGGTTGATCAATCCCTAACTTAGAAATCATGCTGAAGTATAACACCTTGTCTTAGTTACTTCTCTAGTGCTGTGACAAAAACCATGACTAAAACAACTTATAAAAGAAAGTATTTCATTGGGTTTATGTTTCCAGAAGGGTCACCATGACCAAGGCAACTTATAGAAGGGAGAGTTTATTGAGGGCTTACAGTTTCAGAGGGTGAGTTCATGGCCATGATGGCAGGGAACACAGCAGTGGACAGGCATGGCTCTGGAGCAGTAGCTGGGAGCTTACATCTTTATCAACAGGTATGAAGCAGAGAGAAAGTTAACTGGAAATGGCATTGAATTGAACCCTTTATTCCTACCCCCAAAGACACATCTCTTTAATAAGGCCATGCCTCTTCATCCTTTCAAACAGTTCCATCAACTGAGGACCAAGTATTCACACATGTGAGCCCATGGGATCATTCTCATTCAAACTACTACAGTGGGTTAGTGTCCATAATGGCAGAGCAAAACCATGATGGCAGGAACAGCTGAGAGTTCACATCTTAATCCAAAACCCAGGGGCAGAGAGAGAAAGAGAACAGTAGGGATCTTGTAGTCTCTTAAAATCTCAGAACCTATCCCCAGTTCCACTCCTCCTCCAACAAAGCCACACCTTCCCAATCCTTCCCAAACAGTTCTACCAAGTGGAGACAAAGCATTCAAACATGAGCCTATGGGGCCATTCTCGTTCAAACCACCACACTCTGTCACTAAATATATGGCACCATAAGCATAATAAGCTGCAGACAAGACCAGTCTTTGTCGGCTATCAGCAAGTTAAAAACCCAGCCCATGCCTAGTTTAGTTAGCAAATGGAGTTTTATAAACATCACCATATCATGTCTGGTTGCTTTTAGGCTAAAAGAGAGAAATTAAATCAGTATTTTTCAACCTTCCTAATGTTGCAACCCTTTAATACAGTTACTCATGTTGTGGTGACCCCCAACCATGAAATTATTTTCATTGCTACTTCACAACTGAAATTTTGCTACTGTGATGAGTCAAAATGTAAATACTTTTTAGAGATAGAGGTTTGTCAAAGGAATTGAGACCCACAAGTTGAGAACCACTGGGTTGTATATTACATTTGGATATGAAGTATCCCCACCCTCACCCTAAAGGCTCTTGTATTGAAGACCTGATTCCCAGCTAAGTGGTGCTATTAGGAGGAGAGTGGACCATATGGGTGCTGACTATGGGGAGATGAGCGCGGTTTTGGGAATTGAATCATTGAGCACATGCTTTGAGGGGTATATCTTGCTCTGACTCCTTACTATTATGGTACTTCTGTTTCTTGTTTGCCATGAAGTGAGCAACTCTGCCTTTCACACATTCCACCATGATGTTTTGCTTCACCAAGTTCCAGAAACAAGGGAGCTGGTTCCCATAACCGAGACTTCTGAAACCATGAGTTAAGTGAAGATTTTCTCCTTTTCAATTGTTTCTCAGAATGTGTTGACCTGGTTTATAGTAAGCAAACCAGGACTTCTCCAGTATTTTCTACTAATATACCTTAGTGACAAAACAAAGAAACAAAACCTGTGTTACCTGAGGGGAGCTATGAGCAACAGTTTAAAAGAACAAAGTTTAACAAGTATTTCCCCTTTAGGAAATCACTCAATTCCAATGACACTGTCATTCCTGAGTTTAAAAGATAATTGTAATTGCAGCCTTTTAGCTCTGGTAAGTAGCAATACTAAAAATATATATTTTATTTCTATTTCCATAATAATATTTTATATGTTCTATTAGACACCAGCACTGTCATCAAATTGAGCACTTGTGGATTTTATCCTGGATACACCATGGTTTACATTCACAAAGCTGATGTCTTTATATAAGTTGGGGATGGGTTCAGATACGAAGGCATTAAGATGGTGACTTTTTACTGGCAGCTGGACGACATCCCCATTATTTAGCTAAACATAAGCACAGTTTAGAGGCAGATATAGTTATAGCACATAATCAACTGTAAGGATTGTGGGAGCCCGTTTTCAGGTTCCTTGTGGCTTTACCCAGCATGTCCGCATAGAGGACGATTAGGACCATGGGCCTGAGTGCAGGTATCTGAGATGGCCTGCACTTGGCTGTGCTGAGGGGGAGGTCTTTTGCTCCACCCCTTGGCGTCTCTATAAATACCCTGGGACAGAGACAGTCGGGGCCCGTTGGAATAGGTTCCAGGCCATCTGGAGGCTATCCTTTATTTTCTATCTGTTTATCTCCTCAAGATTCTCCGCAATAAATCCTTCTATCTAATATTTCCTGCTGCTCACACTCAAGAAAACTCTGGGGAACTGTGGGGGTGGTGGGTAGACGCCCCACAAAAGATCACCCTGAATAGCCAGGGTGGGCCTAACTCAGTCAGTTGAAATGATTTTCAACAGGCTTTGCTGGTAAGAAATCCACTTGGAAGTAATAGCTTCAGTTTGTACTCAAGTGTTCTAGCCCATCCTTCCCGATGCCTGCCCACTTAAGACATGCCGAGACAGCCCCCAGGAGCAGTCCACCCCTTGCTTCTACATACTCTCCTTATCTATGTTACAGTTCTGTTTGTCTAATGAAAGCCTAACATAGTAAGTACTGTGTCTAAAAGTACTTCAAAACTAAATTTATTGTTCTCTTTATCATTTTAAAGAATACCAATTTCTTGGATAGAAATAAATTTCAATGTTTTATAGCTACCATACTATATAGTCACTCCTACTACATCTCAATCCCTTATTTCACTATGGCAAAGCATAAATTCTAAGAAAAAGCAATGTCCACCTAAATAAAAACTAGTTGAAAATAAAATCACCCACATTCTAAAAGTCACCAGGTGTGGAGTCATGTCTCTAATTCCAGGGCTTCAAAGACAGAGGCAGAAGATCACAAGTTTGAGGCTAGATTGGGCTACATAGAAAAGCCATCTCAAAAAACAAAACAAAACAAAAAAACCTTATAAGACTTGCTTACTCAGATTTATCTATCTACAGCAGTAAGATAAATTAAATGAATAAGAATTCTGCTACAAGTAATATTTAATACAATTTCTACAAAAATGTTGCGGTCTAAAGGAAATAGTTAATTACCTAGGGAAAGTTTAGTAAATTGTATAGATATGTCTAAACATACCAGATCCAAACCGTTAAAAAGTTAAACAATTTAAGGAAGACTTAAGATTCAAACACTCAAGAATGCCAACTATGAATTATTACCCTTCATGCAATGAATTTTATGAAGAAAAGCAAGTGTTCCTAGGCCATGTCAGGACCTAGTATGAACAAAGTAAAAAGGAGGGAGTAAAATTATAAATTAGTTCCAATCATATAATTATTGTTTTGTCAATATTTGAAATAGTATCCTTTCACATTTTTCAAGTTCTGGTGATGTTTTCCTTTTATTTTGAAACACGATAACTGATATCATTTATTTTTTTCCAGCTAGAGATGAAAGAAAGCAATGGAAAGCATGTTGGGCCATCACTGGATCCTTTCTTTCCAACAACATTGACACGTACAGCTGAGCTTTTCATAGAACCTGTGCTTGAGGATATTTTGCATTCTGCGTTCAGTTTGGGGATGATATTCTCTGTTCAGAGCAGTCCATGGACAGAAAAACTAAATGGAATAAACAGGGACAGTATGGAAATGTGTTAACAGACATCTCTTGAACACAAACATAGTGTTTAATGCTAAAATACCACCTATTTAAAATAAACCGGAAATTAGCTCTGAAATTTATTTACTAAAATCACTCTATAAATCTAATGAGCTTTTGCTCATCTACTTCTCAATTCCAGAACTTTTTACATGGGAATCAAGTACCTTTCTGGGATTCTTTGACACTCTCTAGACATCAAAGAATTTATTTTAAGGAGATAATAGTGGGCATGTGAACATATTTACCTCTAATATTCATAAACCATAACTATACATGTATTATCTGTTAAACCAAATAAAAAACTCCTCCAAAATGCAGAGGATAAAGATCAAGCAATAAGACATTTTCTAAAGCAAGGATGTAGAGAGTTTTAAAAGAACACTTAAATTTAGTTTAAACTAAGATAAATATCTTAAGAATAATCTAACAGAGCACACAAAACATCAATGGCAAGAAAAAGACCTTCCTGGCTTTTCTAGAACAACTAAGAACAGCATCACATGTGTCCATATACCCGAATCTCAGCTTTTGAAAGACAGAAACTGAACGCTGAAACATTCTTAACATTACAGTCCTGGACACACTCTTGCGGAGTTCTTTGTCTCAATACATTTAGTACTACATATGGATGCCACAGAGATCTATTCAGCAACATAAAAGCTGTTCCCAAGCCAGAAAAAGAACCACTTAGGAAGCCAGTGACCGTTTTAATATGCAGAGTGCACTGCATAGTGTCACCCACGCAGGCAAGGTCCCCTTCCTTCGGTGCTACTGTATGCCATGTCATGACTTCACTACTGAGCTACAGCTAATTACAAGGCAGACGAAGCGCTAAGAAACAATGCCCTCTAGACAATTAACAGACTGGACATTCACTGTCCTGGAGTGTTCTGCATATGCTAATTCAAACTCCATCATCCATAAAAACATCCATGCAACCATGACTCTTTTTGTTCTCTTCTCTTTCAAGCTTCATAATAGCAGGAGTGACCCTGACGTAGAGCATCCTGCTCACACCATGTAGCTGCCATTCATCTCCATCCAGCTGGGCATCACGTTCTGTCTCGCTCTGGGCTTTAAGCTCTTGTTCAGTGCAAGTTGCTGTGTGATAGTAGAATGGTAATAGCATAATAATTCCAGTACAGAGAGGGCAGCACAGTGATGTGGGTTTGCAGTGCTCACATGATAACCAAGTAAGTGTAGCAAATCTGTGCTGCCATAAGGCTGGACTATCACAACGATACCAGCACTTCTCCTAAATGAATCCTTCTACTCTACTGCTAAGCTGTGGGAGTGCCCAGCTGGGGCTTTTCCTTCTCTATGGTACTAGAGCAATGGTTCTCAACCTGTGGGTCACATATCAGATACCCTGCATACCAGACATTTACATTACAGTTCATAACCGTAGCAAATTTATAGTTATGAAGTAGCAACAGAAATAATTTTATGGTTGGGGCTCACAACAACACGAGGAACTGTACTAAAGGGTCGCAGCATTCGGAAGGTCGAGAACCACTGTACTAAGCACCTAAGCAACCACTGAGCTATAGTCCCAGCCCTCTTTTCATTTTTATTTTAAGATGGGGTCTCAGCAAGCTGTCCAGGCTGCCCTGGAACTCACTGGGTAGCCTGAACTGCCTTGAACTTGCAGTCTTCCTGCCTCAGCCTCCCAAGAGGCTGGATTACAAGCCTGTGGCACTAAGCCCAAGTTGTATTTTCAACATTATAGAGCTGGAAACTAAGCTCCAAATTCCATGCCAGTGCTGGGTAAAACTGCTGCATACGCAATCGCTACAGCTACGAGTTCTTTGTTCTGTCCTTAGTCCCCTGCAGTGGCGTGGCATGCTGTTTCTTAGAGAGAAATGGTCAAGCTTGACTTGCTCCTGAGTCAATAATGTCACATCTCTGTATCAATTTTTCTCATAACAAGTTGAAGGATTCACACTGTGAAGCTCTTTTTAGCTCTATGATAATGATAAGTCAGTACAGGAATTAAACTAATAGTTTACAAATTTGCATTAACTCCTAAAATAAAAAGTTCTTATAAGTGAATCTCTTTCACAACCTAAACTGTGACACCCCCTCTCAGAGATTACAAAATCCAAAAGCCTGATAACATGAATTTTTTCAGACTCACTTAAAAAGAAGCAAGCCCACACGCTACCTACAATAACGATTATTATTATTTCGACTGCATATTATCTGCTCTTAAGTTGTTAAACACACGGCAATCTCCTCCAGAGCTTTTATGGCTTATATCACAATACCTCGGCTGCAGCATGCTCACAGGATTGGAGCAGCAGAACTGCAAGATCCCTGAAAGTCATTCCCTCTCCAGCTTGAGGCAGTCCTGTGGGCTCCGAAGAAATTTGTGTGTCAGCCACAGTTAGTCCCATGTGTGCAGCTGACACTTTCGTCTTTCTTCAAAGCATGTATTAGAAAAGTGTGGTAATGCTCACAAGTTATTCAGAATTCTCAAAAGAAGTCCGAATGGAGTTTGGGGTATATATACACATACTCACACAACAGATGAGCTCATTTTTGAACGGGCATCTTGATTAGCTAATTAGTAAATGATAATCTGGGCAAGAGAGGTCTACTTCCAGTTTGCCGCCAATTTATCAAGACTATTTGTATTTCTTTGTTTTACAACCCATTTTAAAATGAGGTGTTCTGGTCCTCCCTCCCCCTTAGTGTTGCAGCATGGCCCCAGAACACTCTAAGGAGAGGGATGAGAAGACAGGGACCAACTCCTCCGTGGCTCTGTCCTCACCGGACAGACACACTTGCTCCTGGGAGCATGAAGGAGCACAGCGACAGGAGTGAGAGGCAGCATGGCCCCCCGCCCCCCGCCCCGCTCCCACGCTTCCCAAGAGATGGGCTGCAGGAAGACAGCTGGCTACAAAGGCCTCTGACTTCTCAGTCTTCTGATTAGTCTAAACGTCTTAACTGGGGATCAAAGAAACATGTCACCTGACTCCATTTCAACTATCTCACCCACCTCGGCCCCTTTATTCCCATAGCGATGACTTCTGCCACAGGTCAAAGAAAATCATATCAGCATGATGAACTCAACTGTCTACCACACATGCTCAAAATAAAATATTCTAAGCCTTTAACTATGAGTGCATGCACTTAAACAACATGGAGGAAACTAGTCGTAAGTATACTTTTCAATCAAAAAGACGTATTTTAATAGATTTGTGACATTTGAGGTAATTATTTTCATTTTTATTCTTCATAAAAATGTTTAGGAAGAAATAATGATTATTCTGATCTGATTAGCATTTCACTGGAATCACTCTCATCTCCTAGGAAGAATTCTAAATGTTCAGTTTCTGGGAATTAAACTAAAGAAAATTAGCTAGTCTTAGTTAAAAGTAATAAATCTACTAGTAACCCAATTAATTAGATGGAGGTCTTCCAGCTTATTCAGTGCTAGCACTGATTAACTTGAAATCAGTCTACCAGACTGTAAATGTCTGCTGAGAAGTGTGCAAATGCAAAGAACAGTGTTAGCCCAGGCCCTCCCCTTACTGGCGAAGAGGCGGGTCCACTCACCCTCCACCCACACTAAAGCAGAAGCCAATGAGGAAAAGAGTGTCCTGTTGCCTAATGCTGGCATCCCGAACTTCAGCTGACAGCATTACAAAGATTTAAGAAGTTAATCTCCCAACATCTTATTCATGTGGTAGCTTATTTCAAGTCACACTGCATCAAATAAGTCTACACTCAGGTTCAAAAGAAACTTGGGACAAATGGCTAACTGTGGTGCCTACTATCCTACCAAAGTGTCTGCCGTCCTCCAGGCTCCCTCAGTACCTGGGACTCCTCTCAACTCTCCTCACCCCTCCCCATCCCCTAAACTTCGCCAGCTCATGGTTCCTTTCCACGCCTAGATCACCTTGCTATTTCAGCCCTCTGCTCTCCTGGCCCCATCTCCTCCTCACTCTCTCTTCTTTTCCTCTCTCGCTCCCCCCAACCTCTCTTCTCTCAAAGCCCAGTTCAATCCACTGGCCATGTTTGTCTACCGCTTTCTCGTCCTGCTCTGGACCCTTCCAGATGCCTTTGGCTGTTCATATCTACAATCAAACCCTTCCCCTCAACCCTACCTTGGCGCAGTCATGTCCTCTCTCCATACACTATGTTCTAATCAGTCCTGGGCACTCACAGATATATGTAAACTTACATTCTTTTTGTCAGACTTGCTCCTAGTGTGCTTACAAAGTTGGGGGTCTGGACAGTTTAGATGTGGTTACTTCCCCCAGTGCTACGGAAAGGGTTAAATAGCTTGCCGATTCCTCCCGTTTATTACTGAGTTTCTTCTGACTCCTTTCCCAGCAGGCTTTCCATCACCTGCTTTTACCCCACCCCTTTCCAGAAACTGAAGCCCCGCCTCTGAAGCCCCGCCTCCGAAGCCCCGCCTCTGAAGTTCCGCCTCCGAAGCCCCGCCTCCCTGTTTCCTGCTGGGTGCTGGCAGAGAAGGCCCAGACTTCTGTCTGTGAGTCTTGGTTCACAGGCTCAGCTTTCCTTGTCTCGGGCTCCCTTTGCTGTGTGTCCTGTGTTCCGACTACACCTATGTCTGAATACAATTTTGAGCTCTGGACCTGACCTGACAGACACACCGAAGCTGGACAGCAGAAGTGACTCTATTTCTTTCCTGGCTCTTGCCCACTAGCCTTGCCCTGCTAGAAGGAATTAGCTCTGCCTAGACAAATCAGTCTCAATGGGAGGTAACTAAACTGCTGGCTCTAAAGCCTGGAGTAGGTTGTCAATGGCACTTTGCAGTGGATTCCATGACCAAGCATATATAATGTTACACATTTAGTTTTAGAATATGAATTCTCCAATAGGATGCCTCGAAAAAAATAACCAAGAGTAAATAAACGCAAAATTAAAAGGTTTTCTAAGACAAAACTACACTAAGTACAAAATGTGATTTTGAATGAACTTGGCACTTCTGAAATCAAATTGTCTATTACCAAGTAGCTCAAGACTAATTTAACTTGGTTTCCAGCTGAACTGAGTAAAACTGCGTAGTTGTTATGACATAGATCATTTTCTCTTTTTACATTTATTTTATTGTCACCACATATTAATTATATGGAATAGTGGGCTTCGCTGTTGCATTTTCATATGTATAAACCATACCTTGATTGTTACTCTCCTCACATCCTTTACCTTCTCTGGTAATTCTTCTTCCATATAGATTCCGAATCTAATCTATTCTCTTGCTGTTTCTACTATTCCAGAATCTCTATGTGAGCTATTTGGAAGTTATACAATGATACCAGCTGAAATGTTTCAAAAGAGACCTTCAACACTAGTGAATCCATAACACATCTTAAAGAGTACATTAATATGAATAAGCTTTTCTCCCATCTAATCCATCTTATTGTAACAAATAATTATTCCTCTAGGAAATATAAATTTGAAAAAATCCTCAATTAAATGAGAATTACCCTTATATTGTTTAGACATTAATATGTGTGTGTGTGTGTATATATATATATATATATATATATATATATATATATATATATACTCATATTCTAAAAATAGGATGCCAAGTATCAAACAGAGGGGTGTTATCAATATTCTAAACTTAAAAATTACTGGTATATTTTTAAAAACAAAATATGTAATAATCATTTTCTTTCTTTCATTTTAGTGGTGTTTAGATAGATGGCTTGAAGCATTTGGCAGCCTGAGAGCAAAATGCTGCTTCCTGAGGCCAAGCACCTCCTAGAGGAACACCACATGTCAATGCAAATTGGTCTCCTTCCACTCTACAGGGCTTTTTCTTTTTAATATGCTTCGAAAGATCTGCATCAGTATGCTAGTCCTAGCATTAGGTTCTGGGTATTCATCCTTCCCCAGCTGCTCTGTTCACATCCTCTAAAATCACAGCTACCAAAATGAAAGGCGAAATAGCTTATGAAATACACAGAATGAGTGCCATGTAAGAAAAAGACTTGCACCACGAATATTAATATGAGCTGAGCAAGTATCATTATTTGACTCTACTTCCTGTGATAGAAGTATGCACAACAGAAACAAGTACATCTTAGGTCCTCAGACATAGGAAAAGTTAACTGTGGTGAAATTCAAGCTCTCTCTCTCACAGGCCTTCGTTTTTCTAATGGAGTAACAACTGGGTTCTCTGTTTCCCAGCATTGCTAAGTTGCTAAAATCAACCTGAACTGGAGTAACTGCAGGCATGTGGTATGCTGTGGACGGGAGTGGTTAAGTACAAAAGCACAGGGTGAAATACTTTGGGAGAATAATTGTTGCCAGTTAGTTTTGAAGCATCCTGTACTGTGTCTGGGTAAGTAGGACAAGTAACTAAACGGGAAACGTGCTGTACTGTACGGAAGCCACGGGCACAGGAAGAAATGAAAGAGAAACGAAGAAGAAGAATGGGAGAGAAAGGCAAAGGAAGTCAACAGACACAGTAGTTTAACGTGCCACGAGTTCTAAACTGTGAATTAGATGATAATATGATGTTTTTTTTACTCTTTATGGATAAATTAGATTTCCAAAGAAGACTAAATTGTCAGATTTGCCAAATATTAACATATAGACCTAAAAAATTTAAAAAGGAAAGAAAATAAAATGGCTTTCCCAGCATTAAGAAAATGCTTTGCCAAACGCATTCCCACTTAGCTCCACCACATCAACCAATACTGCTAGACACCGAGCAAACATCACTGTAGAACGGAAGAGCGTTGAAGGCAAGCCTCTTTGCTTACACATGCGAAGAGGTAACACCTGGATGTCTGTGTCAGGTAAGAAAAAAATTCTCCTTCATCAATGAAGGCAGGTTCCGCAGATCGTTCCCCCAGTGAGGCCTCAACTTCTAGAGGCCTGACCTCTTGTTAATCCTTGTATCTATCAGGACTGACAAGGGTCTTGTTAAACCACATTAGCAACAACCTCACACTACTCTCATTATCTTTTGCTATAAGTTCCCACATTTCCTTATGATGATAATTTCAAATTTGAAATTAGTTCTTTCCCAGGGTCTCTGTGCCCCTACCAGAATACTTCAGAATGAAACTGTTTTTACTAGTGAAATACATTCTGCTGTGGTCTCCTTAGTCATTGTGCTACTCTAGAAAATGTGGAAGTTCTTCAAAACACTAGAAATAGGACGGCGGAAACAGCTGAACTGCAGCGGGGGGCTCTAACAAGAATGCTCCCCATAGGCTCACACATTTGCACATTTGGCCACCAGGTGGTAGCACAGCTGGGCAGAGGTTTAGGAGGTGTGGCCTTATTGGAGGAAGTTTGAAAGTCTAGAGATTCACAACATTACCAGTTCACTCTTTCTGCTTTGTCTTTGTGGTTCAAGATCTGAGCTGTCAGCATCCTGCTCTAGCCACCACGGTTACCTGCTGGCATTATGGACTCTTGCCTTCTGGAACCAAAGCCCAAGTAAACTCTGTCTTCCATAAGTTGCATCGGTCATGGTGTTTTATCACAGCAACAGAAAAGTAACTAATGCAGTTGTGAAACTGCCCGCTGCATAAGCATGGGGGCCCACGTTAAAATCTCATCACCTGTGTTAAATTCCACCTCAGCAGTGGGGGCCTGGAATCTCAGGGCGGGGGAGGTGGAGATAAGCGGTTCCCAGGGACACGCTGGCCTGCTCATCTAGCCAAGTCAGCCAGCTCCAAGTTCAATGAAAGACCCTGTCTCGAAAATTCTGAAGAAGATACCTGATGCTGACCTCCAGCCTCCACATACATCCTTACACACATGCATGTAAACAAACATGTACACACATATACAAGCACACATACACATATATATTAAAAATAGTTACTTTATGACCCATCAATTCCACTACTTGTTATAAATCCAGAAAAACAATACCAGCACCTCCAGAGAATATTTTCTATTAAACATAGAGCAGAAGCAACTCAAATGTTCATTAGCTCATTAGTTCATTAGAATGAGAAATAAAATGTGATATACCTTTATAAAACTCAGCAATAAAAAGCAGCAGAGCACCAGTATACGCTGGAATACAGATGGACCTTGAAAACATTACTCTAAATAAAAGCATTCACCATGTGGTATCTAATTCTGTTTATATGAAATTTCCAGAAAAAAAAAAAAAAAAACATATCCACAGAGACAGGAAGTCGATTGGTGGTTTCCAGAGAATGCAAGCAAATGCAATAAAGTAACTGCTCGTGGGTATAGGGTTTCTCTGGGAGTGATGAAAATGTTCTAAAATTAGACAGTGAGGATGGCTACACAAGTCTGTGACCATACTGAAAACCACTGACTTGAACATTTTAGACTGCAGTTTTGCTGTGTGTGAATTACAGCTCAATATATCTATTATTTTAGAAGTCACTGCTATAGATTCATCTGCTAAGTACACATTTATGGAGAGTCTACTATGTGCTACCCCTGGGAATGTATCAAATGTGTGAACACAGCCTCTGCCCTCTTATTTTATAGTCATTCAAAAGAAGCATGATGGGTAGTCATTATTGCCAACCCAATTGCACTAATCCTAATTTATGCGTTATTTATTTGTTGATTTATAATTGCTTGTTTTTAATGTATGGCACATGTATGTATGTGTTCGTATGTGTTCATGCATGTGGAAACCAAAGATCAAAATCAGATTTCTAACTCAATAGCTCTCTACATTACTTTTTAGGACAGGGTTTTTTCATAGAACCAAGATCTTGCTAATTCAGCTAGACTGACTGACCACCAAGCCTACAGGATCCTTCTGTTTCTGCTTGCATTGGGATTACAGGCATATACAACAACACTGGCTTTTTTTATTTTGTTTTACATGTGTGCAGAGGATCTGAACTCTGGGTCCTAACAATTACATGGCTATCATTTTATCTGCTGAGATATCCCCTTAGCTTCTTGACTAGATTTGGGATCACTATGAAAACCCAGCCATGGATGTATAGAGAAGAGTGTTTCCAGACAGTCTAACTAGGAGGAAAGATCAAGCTGAATGGAGACCTGCACTATCTCATGGGCTGGGACTATTGGACTGAATTCAAACAAGCAAGCAGGATGAACAGCAGCATTCACCTGTCTCCTGACTACAGATCCAATGTGACCATCCCCGTCATGTATTTTTATCTTGTCGTCCTAGCAATGATGAATTGCACCCTCACACCGGAAGCCAAAATAAACCCCGCCGTCGTTAAGTTACTTTTGTTGGTTTTTTGTCACTGAAACAAGAAGAGTAATTCATGCAAAAATCTCTGCTTAAATCTGCAAGTGACATACACTGAAAGGGCCTGTTAAATGGTAGTGTAAAGTGATAAATGCCAGAAACGAGGGATGAGAAAAATGAATCAAATAGGCCTTAGAATGGGAAGCGGGAGAAGATGG